TTCAGAAGCAGTTTCACTAATGTCTAACATAGTTGGTGTAGGTTCAGCAGGCAGAACAGGTGCAACCTGTTCAGGTGGAACAGCAAGCAGTATTCGATCCTGTTGTTCAACTATTTCGCTATCTGAGGCCAACACATCTGTAGACCAAGTATCGGATACCATAGAAACAGTTTCATCTCCTAAAAAGTATAATATAGATATAAATAATTATAATATAAATAAATTAATAATCAAAAAATAAATCAAAATAATAAAATGTGAAAATACAAGCTAATGAGAGTGAAGTGCTGTAAATATTGCGCAATTTTTATGTTTAAATTTTCAATTATATTTGTACGTTTCGACTCACGTTCGAGTTATCTTCAGCAATACCGCATACAATTACATCAATTAGTTGTGAATCTTTGGCGAAAAAACTCTATTTATCATCAGGCTTCATCATTACACATAGTTGGTAATTCCAGTGGAAGATGAATGAGATCAACTTTCGTTATTTCTAATCCAAGGATCACGATACAAAAAATTTAACTTAAAATCCGCAATACATTTTGATAAGTATTTTGATAAGTATATTAAAAATCACATTGTGTTAGATTCAATCAATTGTTCTTAGCAAGTGACAATTTTAAAGTCACTTTCTAACACAATCTAACATAAAGTGATTTTTAAGATCCTTATCAAAATGTATTGCGGATTTTAAGTTAAGTTTTTTTATCATGATCCTAGAGTTGGAAATAATGAAAATTGATCTCACTCATCTTTCACTGGAATTACCAACCATGTGTAATGATGAAGCCTAATGATAAACAGAGTTTTTTTGCCAAAAATTCACAACTAATTGTATGCGGTATTATATATATATATATATATATATATCAAAATGTATTGCGGATTTTAAATTATGTTTTTATATGCAGTATTATTAATGTAATTGTATGCGATATTGAGGATGGCTTGAATGTGAGTCAAAACGTACAAATATAATTGAAGATTTACACATAAAAATTGCGCAACGTTTACAGCGCTTCACTCTCATTAACCTGTATTTTCACATTTTATTATTTTAACAATTGCGAGAGTACGTATATTTTTAAATTTTTATTTAAACTTGTAATTTTTAATTGTTTCAAAAAATAAATATTATCAATTGTGATGCTAAATAAATATCGTTTTAAATGTATGTCTCTGTTAATTTGTATTTACCTTCAATAAGCTTTTTAATCTCAAATTTACAAAATTTGTCATCAATTTCGGATCGACTTTGTTTGGTTGGGATATTAGGTGGTGGCAAATCCAACTGCCTTGCTTCACCTGCAGCGCGTCCATCATCTCCTTCAGTAATTTGGGATGATGGTGTATCTCGACCTGGTGATTATAATTAAATAATTTATAATTGCAATTGGTACTAAATGTTAAAAAAAGGAATAGTTTAATAGAATTAATATACCTGATATATTAGGAGTTCCTCTACCCGATACATTAGCAGATACCATGTCTGAGAGGTTATCGTTTTGATCTTCTGTTTCTAATTCTAAAGAAGAAGCGACACTGTGATTGGAAGCAGCTTCTGACACAGCTTCCAAGTTATCGGACGTATTGCCAATCGATCCTTCGAACAAAACTAATTATTTTTAATGTAGATGTGTTATAAAAGCCAAGTAATGAATTCTTTAATGATATTTTTAATATTAATGATGATATTTTTAATATTTTTAATATGACACGAAAAAGATTAACAAAAGATAAAATTAAAGAAAGTTATATAAATAAACAAAATTAATGGAATACATGTAAATATAAATTTTAGCTGTTCTAAAAAACATAAACACTATTAAAGCAATCAATATCATATTAAATATCGGTAATTGATATACCTTCGTCATGTGAGAGTGAGAATCGAGTTCTCTTCTCTTGCGTTTCGATACGTTCGACATTGCTATTCTCTTGTCTAGGATGTTCATTAGAGGTGTCATCAGGGAGATTCAAAGTAACAGGTCCATTTTCCATACCACTTTGGAGTTCCATGCATAGAACCTATAAATAATGAAATAAAATATTTCATTTGATAACTTTAATCATTAAATTTATTATTTCCTTAAACTTTTGTTATATAGACATTAAAAAAATCAATTATTTATATTACTATTTATTACACTATAATTTTATAAATTTATAAAATAAATTACAAATTCATAAAATTATATAAATTTATAAACATATTTTTTGGAAGTAGCATATAATTTTGTAAACATACATACAAGATGTAACTTCTTATTAAATAACATAAAGAATAAAATGTGATAAATCTGTATATAATACTGGATACATGTACAAACTTTCTGTTCACTGAGTAGCCCTACGGATTCTCCAATTGTTGGACCAAAAGGTATAACTAGCACATCATGAGAATTTTTATCTACAGTTTCCTCTTCAGGGACTGCAGTGCCGTTAATTTCTTCTCCACTTTCGTTTGTTATATTTGGTGAGAATGTAGTCATCCTTATACCACGTCCTTTTCCTATTACAAAATATTTTAACGTTATACTATGACAATTAAAACATATACACGATCATTATTATATTATTTAGGTAATATAAATTTCCCTACAGCAACACTTCGTTTACTAGGTGTTTCTAAATATTCATTACTTAGTTTATTATTATGCAGTAAACCTGAAGGTAATTGCGACAGCATTTCTGCTAATTGTTTTCTATCAAATGAATTATGCAATATTGTTTCTCCATTGTTATCACCAACAATCGTGTTCAAAAATGTAATTAAGGAATTCAGTTCACTTTCTGTAAACAATGCTGCGGATCGTGACAGGCCTTGAAATTTATTATTGTCAATTATCATTGGTTCCTCCTCCAACTCTTCTGTCGCACCATCCAACATAGAATCTATTATGGAAGACACTGAATCCTTCTCAAATTTTTTATAAAGATCAATAACTTTGTTATCGATACTTTGATACTTTTGTAGCGAAAGCATTTGTAAAATTTGTCCAACTTGCATTAGATTGAACCTTGCAACATAACTTATCGGTGCATCGGTAATGCCGTAAGGCTCAGGATTAACTATAGCAGGGCAAATGAAGTATGTGAATACAAGATCAGTGCACATGGCATGCACTTCTTTTGGATCTACGTTTCCATTCTTACTCAGAAGTCCTGCCATTTGCCTTACAAGCCAGCAAACACTCGTAGGAAAGCAATGTATTGTTTCACGAATATTAATGATAAATCTCTGCGTAATGCGATACAAAGAATTAACTGTCCACAGTCTATAACGCTGTAACTTCGCTTGATATTCGGCTGTGCCTTCCTTCCCGAATTTCTTCAATCTCTCTGCAGGTGGAAATCTAATAGGCGCTTTATCCGGATCAATGTCCAAGAACATTTCATCTTCCATAAGTAACTGCACTATAGGATTATGCAAAGCTGCTGTCAAGAAAAGCTTTGCGGAGAACAGGCTTTCATGAAAGATTGAGTAAAATCTGGAAAATGCGCACGTTCCATGCCTAAGCAATCTTCGTGGATTGTCAGATGGAATTATCTGCAGCAACATAAGATGCCTCAGCAGCTGAAGGACTAAACTTTTATCCTCTGGCAATATACAGCTACCGTATAATCCAGCAGCTAAGCACTGCACAATTGTCTGCATTGATTCTGGGATGGCTCTATCCCCTTCGACCAAACACGAAGCGAGGAGCTTGGGTGACTTTCGTAGTGCACCCAAAAATTCTCCATAGGACAAACATGCTTGGTAGCGCAGGTACTTGTACGCATCGATAAAATGTGAATTTTCCAATGCGTTTGCTCTTAGGCAACATGATGCTGGAGTACAATCTGGCCTTGCCACTATCAGGCGATTCAGATTGACTCTTTGCTGAGCAGTTATCCATGCTTGCTGCGCTAACTGTGACGAAACATACAAGACCTAGACACAACAATCTTATTAAGATACATTCCTATTAAATTAATATTTATAGATTTTTATTATCTTTTATAACCTTTACACATTATGATTTTGTAATTTTTTACTATACAATGGATCGTTTATGTCCTGAGTTAATTTTCATCACTTTTACAAGTATACAAAAATTATTAGGTTATTCTTCTACACTCCATTTTTACAAAGTATTTGCAAAGTTGTATTTTTAAAAAATAAAAAGAATAGAACCTATTATTTACTAACTAAATGCTTCTATTTCAAAGAAAAGAAATAAATACAGGAATGACCCTATTGTATGTATTAAAGGTTATATATCAAATCAATAGGACATTTCACACATATGATGTATCATTGTCTTTTAATATTTGATAAACAACAAGAATAAAATGATACATAATCATTTAATGCACATCATGTTTAAAACAGAACACCTAGGTTGAGTTCTGTTATTCACTGTAAATACTGAAAATCTGTAAGATATATATACTGATTTTCAATACTTGCAATTAATAATAATTAAAGAGTCATAGATTGTTACATGTATTCCATATTACTTACTCGTTCGTTAAGAGTCTGCAAGTTCTGTTGTTCTGAATTAACAAATAGTCTTTCCTGCCGCAAATGACGAGCCAATTCCATCATATCCCACTGTAATGTCGCGTGGGAATCAATACTATTAATCGATGACATTATTGGACGTACCTTCAATGTGAAAAACAGTCATATAGAATGTAAACTATTTCGGAATTTAATTATATAAGGAAGTATTATTTCCATATAATTACTTGCGTACAATCCTATTAGTCGGTTATCCTGCACATTAATAACAGTCGGAATGGGACGTTAACAGGCTTACTTTACGAAGAATCTCAGCAACAAGATTTTTGAGCGCATATGCTATCTCTCAGAGTCCACGAGGATTGTGCGTCAAATGCATACAAGTATGAGAGAGAGGAAGCGTCGTTCACCTGACGAAGTAAATAAAGATCTCAATTCGGGGCAGAATGTAACGACAGAGTTCAGATTGCATAACGCGTTGGCAAATATGCGAGCGTGGTTTCGCGATATCATGGGAATGAAGCTCAAGGTGAAATGTAGCAATCGTTCGCATCACGTATTGAAACATTACAGAGAAACGCGACGCTATCGAGCATGAGATGGGTGTTACGCGTGCTTCCAAATCCCCGGCGAGATTATTGTCGTTACTATCGCGTGAGCATTGGTTCTACTGTGGAAAACGTCGCGTAAGTCGCATTTGCCTTGCCCTTCGAATGTCTCCTTTTGATCGCGCGTATACCTCGTCCGTCTCTCGATTTTACACGCGCGTATTCACGTGTGCAACAATAGCTCTTCGTATCTCTCCGCAAGAAATGCTCGAACACTTATACGTCGTCAGGAACGACGATCGCACAATTCGTTGTTGTCGCACGCGGATCAGAGCAACACCCCCAATACTTCCAATGACACACGCACATCTTCTGATTGTAGGTTAGATTTTTTCTTCCACAAATAAAGTCACTAGATTTGTAAAGGTGTCTTTTCATGGATTCAATTCGCGTTGCATGAAATCCCCAAATATTTTTACTTAAAATGAGATAGATACATATTTTGCCTTGAAAAGAGAGAAAGCGAAGATGTCGAGTACCAAAAGTGCAAGCAATACGAAGATATACTGTACTGACTCTCGACGCTCATTTTTAGCGTCAAAATAAGTCACGAGATCGAAATCGACGCTCGATATTCGTCAATTTTTATCACATGATCTGTTTATAACGCTAAAAATAAGCGTTGAGCATCAGCATGACACTTTAAATACTGCAAACTCGCCGCCATTTTGTGACAAAAATCGAGTCATTTTATTATTTTTTTATGTATTTCTTAAATTTAAACACGACACAATATATACTGATAAATATCTTAAAAATTTTGCACAAATTAGGAATTCTGCAACTCTTAACGCAAGTTTCGTTATCGTTATAATTCCATTGCACAGTTTTTATCATAGTAAAAAATGCTGCGCAACGGCATTATAATGATAACGAAATTTTCATTAAGAGTTATATAAAAGAGTTGTATAGAATAAGCCTGTGAAATCACACTTTTAAAGAAAATAAAAGTGACATGAGCATATCATAAAAATAGTTACCCATATAGAAGATTGAAGCAATATTGCTGCAATGCTGCAATATTATAAGATTGCGATGTAACATTGCAGAGGTATTACAGAAATGCAAATTAACAATATGCCTGCGAAATGTCAGTAATATGTTTGTAATATTCCACAATCATTGCAAAACTGTAAGTATTACAATAATAATAATAAAAATTTAAGTTTTTACAATATTTATGTAGTACAGTCTTTTAGTTTAACAGCCTTTTTTATGATATAATAATTAATATAATTCATTTTATATTTAAATAAAAAATTTATTGATCTATTATTTGACGATCATTTTTATTAGCTAAGTTTTATATTTATTTTAATATGAAATCAAAAGATTGTATAATATCGAGTTTGGTTACAATCAATTCCATTTTAATCTTCCAAATATTCTACAATTGTGTGCATTTGCTTAATGCTGCGCGTAATAAATTTTCGTAAAAATATGCCAAATGGCGTATTTTTTAGAGCTTTTTTTTTAGATAGAGAAAATCTATCAATGACTAATAAATTGAGTATATAATAGCACATCTTTGATGGTGTGGTAAAGGCCTCAACAGAATGGCTGAATTATACTCTTAAAATAATGTCTTATGATCTAAGTCTTTTGTCTTTAATAACGTACACAATAATTGTATATATATATATATATATGAGGTGTAACACTTCGTATATAT